TGGGGATGCTTCTAACAAAATAACAAGGGTACTCGTCGATGCTGAGTCAACTCAATGACACCAAAATGTGCTCAAACACTGCAACGCCAGGTACTCGTCGATGCTGAGTCAACTCAATGACACCAAAATGTGCTCAAACACTGCAACACACGTGACAACAGATGCGACGCCCACGCCATTCGTTTTTACATAACGAACAGATAATGAACAATGGAGTTATCTGATAATGAAGAGGCGACGTATAGAGTGCACAATGTTGGTCACAAAGCGTCAAGCTGTAGAGAATAAGTGACATTAGATATGAGCAGCCAATGTGCACGTGTCAAATTGATCGTCTTTACAAAAACTGTTTGAACGTTAATTCTCCCACCGGCTAATTTAGTTGCAAGTGAAGGAATCAGAAACGTAGGTGCACATTAACAGACGAGTTTAAAGCAGTCTAAAATTATATATTGATATCTTTTTAAAAAAAAAATTCTTCGTTCTTATAGTAATGTTAGACGGGATTACCTCCAATAAAACTAAGTATTACGTGTCAACTTTTTATGCGCCATATAAACCGTCTACTGGGATTTCAGTCTTCAGTTTTCATTTTGTATTTTCTTCCACAGCCTTTGTCAATTTAGGAACAAACTACAAGGCAGCGGCTGTTGTGATATCTTACTCATACAGTTTTATCTCATTTTAAAAAAAATTATTGTCTACGTCAGGCTACCAAAAATTTTAATTTTTTATCAAAGGCTAGTGGTCAGTGAATCTTTATTCCAGAATTTTACTACATTTTGATATCTGCTACATTTATTATGCAACAGGAAATCCTCTTTAAATTACAAATGAATACCTACCGTGTCCCAACTACAAACTAATTAGTTAAGACAACTCACATTAACGAAGTAAAATCATTTAATTAATAGACACGTAAACTTTGTCCAACTACATGCTCCAGCTTTGGTTTGAGCAATGTTATAGTGAGACTCTAGTCATGAACTGACCTACTTTTTGTTGCAAATTAGCAACATCGTTCTTAACAGGATGTGTCTGTATACGAGGTCAAGGCTGTTTTATCGGCTAACGTCAGTTAACATTTTGTTTAAGGTCTTACAGGATAGGTAGTCTAAAACATAATATGGCAACGTATGACGTGAAATAAAATACTAGCTGGTTGTTTTATTATTTTTTTTGAGATACAATAATTTTAGAATACTATATTTAATTTGTCAGAGTACTATGTTTGCTAGACTGCTGTTTACTGCATGTTAGCTAGTTAAAATAATACTTTTGTTATGGTACTTCAATAGTCAGTTTTTTTGTTAGAGTACTATCTCAAAGAACTTTGTCTGAGTACCCGTTTTTAGGGTACTATGTGTGTTAAAGTACCGTGTGTATTAGAATACATAAAACAGATTGAGTTTCCCTCTTTTTAGAGTACATGTTAGTGGTATGCGTACACAACGTAGTGTACATTGATTATATTTAGCAGCACAAAGATACATCAGACATTTTTTTAGAGCAGCCACACACAATTATTTGAAGTTTTTTTTTTTTGTTGTCGGGATAAAGTGAAGCGAAAACGTCCGGTCAGACCTAACATTATGTCTGTTAGACTGAATGAGTGGACGCTGTAGAGTTGGGTTTTTGGTTGCTTTGTTGATTATTTTCTTAGAGAATTTCATCTAGACCGTAACTATTGTAGTTGTCTATTGGACCTAGCAGACGACCAACTGAACACATGGATTCTAGCATCCATTTGATTTCTCTTTGTGTGTCGCCGAGTCTCGCAATTTCTCGACAAATCTCGCTCATAACTCGTCAGTGAAAGCTTCTACAACGGGGTTTCCCAGAACTCAACAAACAAAAAACTGAGCCTGTGATTTCTGACTCCGACCCCCTCCCCCCTCCCCCAATTCCCAGCTCGCTCTCTCTTGAACCTAAAGGCAACGAGAACCTACCCACAACCAAACACCGGCATTTAATGAGGAAAATATAAATTCCCTTCTCGTTTGACTTGATCAAACATTACCCTCGGCCCCGGCTCGCACAGGGCTGGCATCCATTGAGAAGCGATTGACTCGGCACCTCCTAATAATGCCAGCCTCTCCTCCCCCTCCCCTCCGCTCCTATTGTGCAAGAAAAATAGCCTCCCTCTTTGTACGCGCCATTCAACATCCGCGGAAAAATAAACACCAGTCACTCGTGTCCGCCGTGAACACGGAGTCGTCTGCCGAGAGGTCTGGAATCGTCTGCCGAGAGGTCTGGAACTGAGAGAGCGAACACGGACGCCAGCGCCAGCCTGTTCATCAGCCTGATCTGATGCATGTGTCATTTACCAACGGATTTGTCGTAGAATGGCGAGCACAGATCTCCGACATTTTGACGACTTTTCTTTTCACAAAACTAAGGGGGAAAAATGTCGAACGACATTGAGCTAGACCCAGCTCCAATTACTTTACACCATACCTACCACACCCCTTCCCACCCCCATGGGTTTTTCTGACACCCCCCCCCCCCCGTACTGAAGGTCTCGGCAGCTGAAGGTTATGAAAATGTCCGAGCTGTCAAACACGGAAATAAACATATGGGCGGACATTGACCGGACAATGGCAAGTCTTGATACAGGCTTAAAGTACCTAGCCAATGGCAAGTCTTGATACAGGCTTAAAGTACCTAGACAATGGCAAGTCTTGATACAGGCTAAAAGTACCTAGACAATGGCAAGTCTTGATACAGGCTTAAAGTACTTAGACTATGGCAAGTCTTGATTCAGGCTAAAAGTACCTAGACAATGGCAAGTCTTGATACAGGCTAAAAGTACCTAGACAATGGCAAGTCTTGATACAGGCTAAAAGTACCTAGACAATGGCAAGTCTTGATACAGGCTTAAAGTACTGTGGCCAGACAATGGCAAGTGTTGATACAGGCTTAAAGTACATAGACCATGGCAAGTCTCTATACAGGCTTAAAGTACTTTGCGTTCGTATTAAACAGCGTAGTCATGTTACATTGAAGGAAATAACATGGGTAGATTGTTGGTTAAATATCAACGTAAAGGAAATAGTGTGCGGGTTTGTGGGGATGAGGGTTTGCTTTAATAAACAACGGCTTAAATGTAGTCTTAAATTAATCCCTAAGCTTGATCAAACAGAACGACTTAATTTAATTTAGATTAATTTAAAGTATTCGTTTTCAGGAAAATAAATCAACTAACGCAGCATCTACTGCAGTGTCCTCGTCCTAACTCAAAGTTTTATCAGTGAGACATTAAAAAGAAACAAGCTTTTTGTCTAAAATAAATACCGTAAACTTTGTAAATCGGGTTTTTAAAGGTTTCTTCCTTGCTCACGGAACTTGGTTTATTTATTTTTTTTTTTTAAATTTCGGTTGCTTAAGTTTGATTTTAAAGTTTAAAAGATAATAATTTCAGAATATTACCATGAAACCATCTTTATAACTTATAAATGACTGCAAGCAGAATTAAAAATACTGAGTGAAACTGAGTTTTCATGAACTTTAATGTGGGACCGCCATATGTGAGGTGGTGATGCGTGAAGATGACCACCATGAATTCTGTGGAGTGTGACCCCCATCACGTGATGTTACCGGCAATTTTTCTATCTACTCTGGCAACCTCCGTGACTTCATCAATTATTTCAAAGATAAAGCCTGCATGGTGTCGCTAATTTTAGAAACCAATTAGATCTAATCCACACGGTGTATAATTTACCTAGAGCTGCATATAGTGGGCGATAACAATTTTTATTGAAATTAACTTTAATTTTTCGAGTCAACTCTATCATGCCGGTTATTAGAATAACCACAAGGAAAAGACAAGGGCTAATGAAGGATAGAGAAAGATGGCTTCCCTTTAATCAACCGCGCGAGGCAATACAGGGGCAGTAACTAAGTGACTCACAGAGTAAAATAGCCCGCATCTTTTTGCCGCTATTTAGCCACGTTATTAATTTCGTTTAATCCAGCGGCTAAAACTAATTATTATGCACATTTTTACATCTTTAGTTAACATCGGCAGATGTGTTCAGGTTATTAATATGTTCATTTTTCGTTATAATTATATATGTAAGAGAGGTAGAAACATACGCTTAGTAATTACATTAAACAATATATATTATAAAATATATTCAAATGAATAGACTTTATGATAATAATATAGAATAATGAAGTAAAATACCGAATAGAATATGTCTAGGTTGATATCTCCTTTGTACACATTTTCATATACATGCATAATTATATATTCAAGAATATTTATCGATATATATATATATATATATATATATATATATATATATATATATATATATATATATATATAGATATAGATACATATATATATATATATATATATATATATATATATATATATATATATATATATATATATATATATATATATATATATTTATATATATATATATATATATATGTATGTATGTATATATATATATAACATTGATGAAACTATACATCTCTATTTAGATTATAAACTTCTTCATTGGACCTAATATAGCCTAATGTTTGTTTCCTTTATTGTTTCCTATATTTAAGAGATGACAACTTAAGTGTATGCCAGTATTTTCAGAACCCTTTGCTTCTCAACACTTAGATACACAAACCCTGTAATCGGGAGGCTGATCAACACACAGCCAACCTTAAACCAGAATCTTGTTGTTAGCCAACCCACAACCAACCTAGAACAACCACAACTAACCCAAGACAACCCAGAACAACCCACAACCAACCCAACACCCACCCACCCACAACCAACCCTACACCCAACTTTGTATCTAGCAGCCAACAAACGACAATCCACAACAACCCACAACCAACCCACAACCACTCCACAACCAACCCTACACCCAACTTTGTATCTAGCCAACCAACAACCAACCCACAACATCCCACAACCAACCCTACAACCAAACCAACCCACAACCAACCCCCAACCAACCCCCAACCAATCCTACAACCAGTTTACGACCTACCTTGACCTGTGACTCTGACATCCCGAGAGCGTATGCCAATCTGGCACGTTCGGGCCCGGCCAGATATTTTGTCTGCTCGAATGTTTTCTCGAGGGCGAAGATCTGCTGACCGGAGAAGGTGGGCCTGGTGTGTTTCTTCTTGCCGTCCTTGTCCACCACGACCGTTGCCGACTGTGACCCGTACCGCTGACACGAGCCTGCTGGGAGATAAGCAGTTGGTGAGTACATGCACGTGATACACACTGTTAAGTACATTCATTGGCATCTTGTTACGGAGTCGATGAGTATTAATGAACCTCATTATAAAACATAAATAAATAAGGATCGTGTTACATTATTGGTGAGTGTCAATGGACCTTATTATAACAAAACAAACAAAAATAAATGAAGATCATCTTACAATATTGATGAGTATAAATGAACTTGATGATAAAAGAGAAAAAAAATAAATATGAAGGTCTGTTGCCAGTGTTTTTTGTCTACACTCGCGTCATTGTTACATGCCAAATGTTGCTATTTACACGTCAAATAAGGCTATTTACAAGGCGTTTCATTGTCAAATGAGGCTATTTACACGGTGTTTCAACGATCTATGTGATGAAAGATGTTTTTACGATTATATTTTAATGTGTTTATCGTAGTATTGTTTGAACTAATTTTAACCGAATTATTTTTAAATGTTAATGTATTGCAAATATTAATTGTGTTATGCTAAAAGATATCTTTTTCGACTGATTTTGGATTTAGTTGTTTTTTTTTAATAAAATTATGTAGTCGTTCTCCACCCGAAGGGACTTGTTATTAGTTGCAAAGGCAACATGACACTATGGAAGAAAGTATTTTAATACCTTTACTATTAGAACAATTTCCATTTAGACGGGTAAAATTATTTACTTTTTTTAAACATGAAAAGATTAGGTGAATTAAACAGAAAAACAGATCTTTAAGATGAAAACTGAACTCCCCGAAAGTCAGGGAACAGAGGACGTTTGTGTGACTGATGGTGTTGTCATCATGGGCGGTCAGTCCACTGACCATGACGTCACCGTCACAACCCACTGACACAAGAGTCCAGTGAGGTGCTGGACACGACCGTCCATCACGCTTCAACACTCGCCTGGTGCGTCAAGTATGACAGACCAGCAGGGGACCGTGCTAGACCGGCGTGACGTCACCTAATTAAGCTTCGGTCCGAACATTTAATGAAATGTTAGTTCCAACATAGCAAGCACAATGTCTACTTTTTAATTTTTTTTTATAAAGTAGCTTGATAATTTTTAATTAACAAACGGTTTCTAGCTTTCGATTTTGGATGATTATATTTTTTTGTACTAAAGTGTAAAAAAAGTAAATAAAATAATTATAAAATAACAATTGTCTGCATCTTTACTTAAACGACACAAAAACGTTTGTATTTATTTTGCTTGCAACGAACTCTTCAATCAAAAAAATAAATAAACAGAAAATAGAGCATGTAAAATCACTGAAAATGGTGTAACGTTTAACATTCAATCTGACACTTACATCTTTTCATCCCCCCCCCCCCCACACACACCAACCCAGACCGCAACACGTGTTGTGTGTGGGAAACATGTCCGCCTTTTGATTCCCAAGTCGCTGTGGTAAATACTACCACTGGGGGTCACCAACTATCCCAACATGTTAGACGGTCGTTAGCATTTCGCCAGACACCGATCGCTGGGGACCTCTGAGCAGCGGATCCTCCCCGCCTCCCCTGATACTCCCCTGGTCCTCCCTTGGCTCCCCACCTCCCTTGAGCGACAACGGTGGCCCCTGCTGTAGAACTCATCATCTCCTTGAAGTCCCCCACCACCGGGCCTCCATTAGACCCGCCTCTGGTTTTCCTATCCCCACACATGATCCCCATCAAGACCCACCTCGCCTACGCCGAGATGGGACCAGCAGACCGCGGGGTCGCGACCCCCCTCGTCACGCCGCTGTGTAAAGATCGCCTTGGGGGTTGTTTGTCGCCGGTAAATGCAGCCCGACCCCCTACGCGGGCCGCCCTCTCCTGGCGGCCATTAGGAAACCATCAACAAATTAGGGAAGCCGGTTCTCAATTGCTGGGGCTAAGTGATTCTCCGTCACCCCCCAGACTGTATGACCATCAGGCTTGAAATACTTACAGATACTTGGCTCTCAATGGGGACAAGAGAGGACTGGTTCATTAAAAATACGTCACTACCGACAGTAGTTTGATGGGAAAAACAAGTCGGAGAAATCTTCCAATCCTGGTTTTTTGTATTTCCGGGTAATCCCCTTAAATGGCGCTATTTTGTAAACATATTGCTATGTTTATGTTGGTCTATTGTTTTTTTTTTTCAAATCCAAAGTCGGAAAAATGTTCCAATACTCGTTTTTGTTTTTTCAGATTATACCCTTAAATGCGCTATTTTATATTTTTAAAAATTCTATATCCTATGTTAGTCTACTATATTTTTTCTTTTAAAATCCAGTCAATAATCTCCACATTAATCCGATTTTCGCTAAACTGTTTTATAATAACATTTTCCTCATCTTTTTTTAATCCGGTTGGTTAGTCTGCTACACATTTAACGATTTCCCCACACGCAATTCCTGGCTAATCTATCCTATAATAACCTCGGCTAATCTGCTCCCTAGTTAATCTGCTCTACAATAATCTATCCATCTCCAGATGTTCCTTGTTAATCTGTTGACTGTCAGTCTATTCTGTGAAAATCTATCATGTGCTTATTGATTTTCTATCTCTCGCACATCTTTAGATTATCTCTCTATCTACCTCAATAAATCTCACCACGTTACTAATACATCACCATATACACAAATACATACCCACACATCACTAATACATACCCATCTTCTCTAATATATATCCACACATCACTCATGCATACCCACACTTCTCTAATATATACCCACACATCACTAATACATACTCACACATCACTAATACATCCCCACACATCACTAATACACACATCACTAATACATACCCACACATCACTAATACATACCCACACATCACTAATACATACCCACACATCACTAATACATACTCACACTTCTCTAATACATCCCCACACTTCTCTAATTCATACTTATACGTCACTAAATCCTAAATCCTAAGACCGTTAACCCTCTACAGTTGGACTGTACTCTATATTTTAACCCCATCCATCCTGTTGGCTTACATCTACACTTTAATCCTCTGCAAGAGTTCTTCCTTCATATTAACCCCTCGCCTCCTTCTCTCGCACGATTGCTTCCTACATATTGAACCCATTTCTATTCTAGTGTTGCCTCCAACATATTAACCCCTATTTTCCAAAGGATTGCCTCCTACATTATTAACCCCCTATCCCCCGTAAGATTACCTCTACATATTAACCCTTTCTCTCGTAAGATTGCTGCCTACCGCCTACATATTAACCCTCTATCTCCCGCAATACTGCCACCTAGCGAACATTCCGTTAATTCCCTACCACCAGATGCCGTTGCAAGTCTGAAGACCCCAACACGAAAATCTGGCCCAGACGAATGTTTTATGTCCTCCGGAAAAGCCATCAGGAAATGTTTCATCTGTTATCCCCATCACACCCCTCCCCACATTACAACTAGAAGATGTTTATGCTATTCTGTGTATCAAAACGGCGTTTGTTTATTTATATTTCCTTCAGCGTCTCTTGTTTTTTTATAAACCTTAAAGCATTTCTATCATTACTCGACAAAAGACGCGCAATTAATTTTATAGCTCCACGACATTGCAACATTAATTGAGTTAATTTAATTGAAAACTAATGCCATCTTGTTTCACGGTGAGTCTTGTGTATTAAAGCATCATTTAAAGAAAAAACATTAAGGTTTTTTTTTCAATCGTTGAACGATTTCGATATTATTTATATTAAGGTATTGCTTCCCTAACCTTAACTCTGGTACCAACCCTAACACTACCTTAATACTAACCCTATCCCTGATCCTAACTTTATCCCTAAGCGTAACAACGATACAATTAAAAAAAAACAATAACACACAATGTTGTGACAATACTCTAGAGCCCTTTAATATTTTGGAGCATCAAGAACGATAACTTTGCACGGAAAACGGACTGAGTACTTATTCTAAAGGTTTTTACCCCAATTTTACTAGTTTGATTCTTTATCTAAAAAAAATATTTAATCTCCATATCTATAAAATGTGTTCAGTTTTTTAAAGAGAATTATTTCAATAAAATACATCTTTGTACACAATTGTTGTCACATCGTATTCGCATACAGCAACCTTTCAACCCGCAATTCAGGCTGTCCCATCTTCTATAGGTAAAAAAACTTTATTGCTAATATTCTCATGGAGTTTTGTGTCAGAATCAATACCCGCAGAAAGAAGGCACGTCCACATGAATGGGAAGACCGGAGGAGACGGTTGTTGTTGCAACGATCATCCCGGGTTGTTACTTTCTATAGAACAACCCGCAACCCACCAATCAGTTCTGGCAATGTTCTTACGGTTTTTTAAAAACCAGAACCACACAAAAAAAAAACGAAAGAAAAAAACCACTATGTTGCGGACAATCCCCGACTATTCAACACGAAATCAAATTAGCAGCTAGCTTGCCTCGTTATGAGTTTTCATTAAACTTCCGGAAATGAGCAAGCAAGCAAGCCCACGCTTTGATTGGGGTATTTAAACTAAATTTGCCGAATATTTCTCGAGATATTGGCCATCTCTCTTCTTTTCTATACAGTAGTTTCCCTTTTACGTGGCATGCAAATGGATTCCTTCCCCTTCCATTTAGCTGTAAAACCTCTGAAATGGTACACACAGGCTGTATTATTTATGCTCACCCCCACCTACCCGCCCGCCCCTATTGATGATCAATAAAACCCTAAAGGATATATTGGCCTGGCCTATTGAATCGAATGCACGTGCCGATGATGAGTGTTTGAAATGAACTAACCTAGAGAAGAGTGTTGCTGATTGCAGGCTTATCGGCGGAATCAAACGGAGCGAATGTTTTTATTTGTAGTCATCATCGACTTTGTTTCGGCTGGTTTGATTGTACAGTTTGTAGAGTGATATGGGGAAAGGGGGGGGGGGGGGAGAAGTAATTAAAGCTTAACACGATTTTAATTAACGCGATGCTTCTTTGTCTGCATGTTTTCTGTGCGCACCTAATTAGATAATTAATTAAACTGCAGGT